TATATATATATATTATATGTAAGGTCTTGTAGAAATATGTAGCAAATATAGACAATAAACATGCAGCATCAACATAAACTCATGAAATAAAATATTACAAATATATATATATTTTTTTAAGTTTTTCATTTTGAGTTTTCATTATAAAATAATTTATTTTAATTTTACATTATTACTTATTTAATGATTAGTTTTTCCATCACACTTGAAAAGCTGATGATAAATCAATTAAATCAATTTTATTTATTAACTAGACAAGTTATTTATTCTATAATAATTTAATCCTTGGCTCTAAATTAACAAAAAATATTACAACTTCATAGAATATTGTCTTCTAATTGTTGCATTGTTTGACTTTTTCATTTGTATCACATTTGACAGAGACTTAACAATTGCAAATAAGTTTTTCTTATCTTCATTTGCTGTCAGTGTTCGCGTCTCTAGAAATGCAGCTGAAAAGAGCTAATATTCTGACAGAAAAGCTTCGGTCCTATTACAGCTCAGACAGCATGTCTGAGTGTGTAAATACATGCTTGATTGCGTTTCTGTTTCACCTGCACGTTCTCCTGCTGCTGGCTCTCTCTCCTCCTCTGTCTCCTCCTCAGGCTCTTCAGTCGCTTCCTCTCTCTCTTACCCAGCCTGTGTTCCCCAGTGGGAGTGGGTGTAAGCAGGGCTGAAGCCACGCTGAGCCCTGCTGGAGCTCTGCCAGCCTGTTCTCCAGCCTCCTGTTCCTCCTCAGAGCTGCTGAGAGACATCAGAGGAGCTCTGTGGTTGAAGGAGCCGCCCGCTTCCTGATCCTCATGAGGGATTCGTGAGCCCCTAATAATATCTGACCTAACAGGTTCTTGATCAGACCTCCTCGAAAGCATCACAGTCCTGCTATAGGGAGGAGGGCTTGTTCTATGGCATGGGGAAGTGGAGGCCTGCTGGCTGGCTGTGGACCTCAGCATATGCCCTGCCTGGAGATCACAGTCTGGAAAGTGCAGATCAGAGTATCCTCGAGGGGAGTTTTGCCCCCTGTAATGAGTCTCCCGGTGGGCATTTGTATAGTTCAGACTGAACGTCTTCCTGTGGGCTAGTCTGGCTCCAAGTTTGGCCTTCTGCAGAGGCCTGACCTCCAAACACAGGGCCTCCGCCGTGCGCCCAAGGTCCTCTTCTCCATGTGAGTCCATCTCAGATCGGACAACTCACTGTTGAACCGAAACACCCCCCCACCCCACTGTGCCCAACTCTACAACAGGCCAGGAAACATTTGAGTTCATTGTTGAAGAGGTGAGCAGGAACATACTGGCCCCCTGAGGTATTTTGCACTGTTGACAAAGGTAAAGCCCCCTAAATAGTGGCAGTTCAGTGACCCGATTGTCTCTGGGGGCCTATAGAATTCAAACAACCCACAATACATGCATTGTGTTATAAGGGTGGCAAAATTAGGTGAAATAACTAGACCAACCTTTTTCAACAGACACCATCAGCTCTTTTTCTGTCTGAACAATCGGCAGCATATGAGAATATGACAGTCACGAAACGAAATCTGTGGTCATTTTATACAATTTGCATGTGTGGCTTCTACTTGACGCTTCATTTTTCTTTTTTTTCCCCATACAGTCATTAAGTTAGAAGGGCAAGTTTTAAACGATTATTTTATTTAAACAATTATAATTGGAATTAAATATTATATAATATTAATATAATTATTAATATATTCTTAATATTTAATTCATATTAAAATATTTTTAAATGTATGTATATTTTAATGATATCTTTTTAAAATGTAATGATATTTTACAGTGGATAACAAAATAGTTGTTAATATGGATTTTTTTTTTAGGTAATTTCAAGAAAATGTTAAATCAGTTATAAGTTAATTATTTTAAACAAAACACATTGCATAAATTCCAACCATTAATAGATTATTCAGCTGTGATATTATTATCTTAATTATTTGGATATTGAATATTGCATTTTTTCAACTTCATTGATGGAAACAGATAAAAGATACATGTAAAACAGTGAAAGATATCTAAACTCTTAATGGCAAGCAAAGAAATGAATAATACGTTTATAATAATAATAATAATAATAATAATAATAATAATAATAATATTTTTGATAATATTGAATAATAATATTTTTTTAATGCGACAAACGTCTTAGCTTATGTCCTCCATAGTAAAGGGCATAAAGAGTAAAATGGGGATGTCTCTTTAATTGTCCTCTGCACAGTTTTGAATATATGCAAACTTTCGTTGAGCTCAGTTTTTTTTTCACACCTCTCACAACTTTGGCATGTTTTCAAAGACACATACAAGTTGAATGGCATTACGTAAGGTTACGTAAGCACGTTATCGCACATTTTTCATGATTAATCATGCATATTGATAGGCTTTGCGATAGCCGTAGTAAAAAAAAACGCATTGATATTATTTATATTCCATCACTTTTTCAGTATTAAATGAGGTGGGAGAAGGAAAGTCTATGCTGCATGAAGTCAAGAGTGATCTGAATCGTTGGGAAGAGGGGTCTCGTTCCACAATGCGTCCTCATTATTTTCTTTCATCTTTTTGCCATGTTCTCACCAGATGGCAGCAGATTTCCGTTCTGGGGAACCCATGGAACTGTCCGCGGTGCTGAAAGTGCATTTTCCCGACGCATCTCTGCAACAAAAGTCATAGGCCTATGGAGTACACTATTACAATAAATCTGATAATCATCAAAAGGTTTGTGATATTCAAAACATGATTACTGTCATGATATATTACTGAAAAAAATGGTAACCTAAAAATTGTTCTAAATTAACTGGTAGCCTATTATTCCAATCAAAAAATATTATTTAGCATCACTGAATCAACCTAAGTACATTAATATAAGCAAAACTCATTTTTTATTAATCAAAACAGGTAAAAATAGCTAATTAAGGCAACAATTGCTGGTTACGACTTTTTTAGAGTCTAATGATCATATAATAGCCTATGACACTATTTGTATACACATTTTTAATTTATTGTAATTTATTCATCAGATCTAGCTATATGCACTGTATTTTTTATCCTTTCGTCATAATTATCTTTATTTCCAACAATTCAACTTATACACATTGATTTGTCTCAAGTTCCAGATTTCAAGCTGATTTTCTTTATCTGCAACGAAAATCGAATTGGTTGAAAGAGTGCAAGGACTTTTTCACTGCAAAATAATAAACAAATAAAAACGTTTCAGATGGCTGTGTGAAGAAATACAATCGATCTTCATACAACATGTTTGCAGAAAATGTGCCTTTGTCAGCAAAACAAGCAACTAAGAAACAATTTACCAGACGCAGCACGTTGTTGAATTTGCCTGCGCAACTTTCATAACAGCAACTGTTGAATATCTCAAAACATATTGTACTAGAACACTGCACATCCGAAAGGACAACTTTGTCCTGCTGTAAAGCTTGCACGGCCGCTCTGCGAAGTGCGCGCGCCAACCTCTCCTCAGCCATCTCTGACGCACTTAGCACGACTCGTATAAATGAAATCACTTCGTCACTGGGCGCCAATGATAGCAGCTCGAGCGTGCAGCACTTCCTGAGCCCGGAGCCCGGAGCCCGCCATGCGTCTTCAGAGCAGCGAGGTGACCGGCGCGAGGGACTGTCTCTGAGTGACCGCTCTCACCATGGAGAGTTACAACAACACCACAGAAAGCCAAGACTGGAGCGGGAACGCGACGACAGTTAGCGAAGTTGCTTTGAGTTACCAAATAATCGGCTCGCTTTTCCTGGCCGCGTTAATTCTGTTTGCCATATTGGGAAACGCGTGTGTCATCGCTGCCATCGCTTTGGAGAGATCGCTTCAGAATGTGGCCAACTATCTCATCGGCTCCCTGGCCGTCACAGACCTCATGGTGTCGGTTCTAGTGCTACCCATGGCAGCCCTGTATCAGGTTCTGAACAAATGGACTTTGGGACAGGAGATGTGTGATATATTCATCTCTCTAGACGTGTTGTGCTGCACCTCTTCCATCCTGCACCTGTGCGCAATCGCTTTGGATAGATACTGGGCCATCACCGATCCCATAGACTATGTGAATAAAAGGACCCCGAGACGAGCGGCTATCTTGATCAGCCTCACTTGGCTAATAGGATTTTCCATTTCCATTCCTCCCATGTTGGGCTGGAGGAAACCAGAGGACCGTGCAGATCCCGACGCGTGCACAATCAGCCAAGACCACGGGTACACCATCTACTCAACTTTTGGAGCTTTCTACATCCCCCTCATCCTCATGCTGGTCCTCTACGGGCGGATATTCCGAGCGGCGAGGTTTCGCATAAGGAAAACCGTGAAGAAAACCGAGAAAGCTAAAATCTCGGACAAATGCCTGGCGGTGTCTCCGGCGCTGTTCCCGAGGAAAGCGAACGGCGAGGTGAGCAAAACTTGGAGGCGAAGCGTGGAGCCGCAGCCGGGCTCCTGCGTAAACGGAGCGCTGAAACACTCGGACGACGGAGAGTCGTTCGAGATTACAGAAGTTCAGACCGTCTCCAGAAACCACCTGAGCCTGCCCAACAACCCTCAGCCGTGCTTCGAGAGCAGAAACGAGAAAAACACGGAAGCGAAGCGCAAAGTGGCTCTGGCCAGAGAGCGCAAAACGGTCAAGACTCTGGGAATCATTATGGGCACGTTCATTTTCTGCTGGCTGCCCTTCTTCATCGTGGCGCTTGTTTTGCCTTTCTGTCAAGACTGTTTCATGCCTGAGTGGTTGAGGGCGGTCATTAACTGGCTCGGATACTCCAACTCACTTTTGAACCCCATCATATACGCGTACTTTAACAAAGACTTCCAGAACGCATTCAAGAAGATCTTGAAATGCAAATGTATTAGACAGTGAACGATGCTGTTTAACGGATGCTAATATGCAGATATTGATTGTTAAAGAACTGCTCTAAAGGCATTAATACGAACGGACCCAGTGCGGGACAGTACAGCACAAGAAGAGGTAGAGCTCTGTCCTTGTGTATTAGTTAATCTGTGAAGTCTATCTGCTTCCACCACAAAAAAAAAAAAAAAAAAAAAGTCAAAA